GGCCGCTTTTCGCGTCGAATCGGACCAGACTGCTCTCGCCGAGTTTTCCCGGCGAATCCGATTTCGAAACGGGAGGGAAATCCGCTCGAATTTCGCGTGACGCGTCGGGAAAACCAAGCGGGCGCGGGGGAGAACATAAGCGTAATCGAGAAAATTCGAAAGCGCGGTTAATTAGACTAGCATTAAACGATGCGCGCTCGGGCAAGATGTAAACGAGAACGCGATCCCCGGTAATAAGTGCAACTGGTGCGCTTGGCCTGGTATGCGAGCGCGGTGCACGTGAACACCCACGAAGTCTACTCGACGCGACGCGTCGCGCCGCGCCGGGATCCATCGCTAATCCGCGAGGCCCTCGAGCCAGCCTCGAACGTGTCGCTAATGAGCGCCGAGCGGGCTGCGCGGTTGCCCGAAATTTCTACCGGAGGCGGATCGAAAATAAGCGGCCACGAGAAACGGCGATTAACATTCAAATTCGACGCGGTTCGTGCCGTAACAGACGCGTTTTAACCCTTTGCACTCGAGAGGTCACCTCGGGGCTCTCGGTCGCCTTTTCATTTGATACGGCGGAATCATTACGTTCGATGTTTAACGTTAAGTTTGCAGGAAGCATCGGTATATGAGGTATCGAAATGGAATATCTTCGTTTCTCAGTTTATGGGAAGGATGTATTCGACAATTCGAAAGATATCTTCCTCCTAATATAAATGACTAATTTTTACGCTGTTTTTCAAGGCTAGGGTGAATTTCACTTGCAAATATCCTATTCATCGAATGGAAGGTCAAGGAAGGTCAATGAATGACTCAAAGGAATGACAGGAATCACGCTCTGGTGACATGGTCTTTTCAAACACCGTGTATATAATCTAACATACTCCCAAGTCGATTTTCCCGGTGTTCCAGGGGATTGATCCGAAGAGCCGCGTTGATCAAGCACTTCGTATTCGATCGGTGCTCGAAATCCAGCGAGCTTCTTTCTTAACGGCCAGCGGAATGGACGAGGGAACGATCGAGACGAAACCGGGAGCTTGAAAAATTGCTTGAAACGTTGCTCGGGAAATCGCTCGCGTCGCGCGATCGTTCGCCCGAGGTGAGCACTGGAATGCTGGAAGCAGCACTTACGCGCGCGGAACCGTAATAGTACGTCTTCGGAATTGCGCGGCGACCGTTGCAATATATTTTCTTGTCGATCGGGGATGGGCGAGGTCGCGGGGAAGGCGTTCGATAAGAAAATCCGATGACAGCGGAGAAAGGATCGCGCGGCAAAAAGGGAATGGGACTTTCGTTCGGATGGGGATCGCTCGCGAGCAATTACGCGTCCTCGCAGCGTCGCTCGCGAAAGAAGCGTCCGGCCGATTTTCTCGGGCGACTCGAAAAGTCGGCGTCGAATCGTAAATCCCGATCGGTCGGGCAACTAAGAAAAGTTTCTCCTTGGAACGACTTCGCAACCGCAGCGTCGCTCGTAATTTTTCGCGTGTCGAACTTCGGCTCGCTCTCGTCGAACGGAACAATTATAATAAATAATATTCCGCACGGTGTACAGGCCAGCCGTAAACGCTTCACGGTGTTCTCCCGCGATTAAAGCGTATTTTATTCGCTTCGGTGTGTCCACGGTAGTCGCAGATCGCGCGAAGATCGTTCCTTTCGCGTGAATTCACACGGGAAACGTCTTATTCGAATCCGATGGATTTTTATCGAGGAATGTACGTAATGTACGGGAATTTTGCAACCGACTGTACGCCGGTTGTTTCACTCCGTTGCGGTGATGTCATATCACGGATGCGTTAACAAAGATACTGCGCCTATTAAGAGAAGCATCGAGATAGTGCTGATAGTTCTATCTAGCCGGTGGTTCCTCGGAACAAGGAAACGAGACGTTAATCTACGATGCGACGTGAAACTGCGATCAAATGCGTACAATGCTTCGAACTTGATAGTGAAGATGGGCTGCGTGTGTTGCAGAAGTGTGATCGAAATGAATTTTACTTAATTCTGTTTCACTCTGTTGATACACCAAGTGTTATTATAGCACGTGGAAAGTCCGTGAATTATGCGTGAATCATTGCGCAGGAATCTCGAGTCTTTTCTGCAAGAAGAAAGCTACGCGATCGCCGTAATTTCGCGAGTTTACGATCAGCCAGAAGCCTCGATCGATCTCCTTAGACGCAGAAAAAACGGAACAAGCACCGTTAATCTCGATCGAGTTCCTATTGAACGCGAACACGCACGCACGCGATACCTTTTTCCAGGGTCGAGGATAATGGAAAACGAAGTTAATGACAAAAAGTCGCTGGGTCACCGCGCGCACGCGGCCGTCGTCTTCCGTGCGACGTGCACCGGAAAATTTCGCGACGTTCGCTGGAGAATCGACTCTCTGTCGTCTCGAAATGTCGAATCTCGAAATGAGGAAAACTAATTCTTCAATGGAAAAAGCTTCTGAAAATTTGGAGTACCATTTCGTACTGAGAATCGAGGACATCGCTCGAAATTCGAACGTCTTCGACGCGCCTGCCACATTACACAAGAATCATTCCCCATTTCGTCACATTCCGCAACGCACATTGTCACGGGCCCGAGTGGTCATCCTTTCACGCGCGCGGGAATCTCTTCTAAGTAACGCGTGGAACGCTATGCTCTACATAAGTGTCCGGCGAAGTTCCCCGCTTTCTTTCTGCATCCAGTCGAAACTGCACGGTGAAATTTAATTGAACTGCAAACTTCGTTATGATTTCTAACAGTGCCATTAGACTTTTCCACGAACAGAAGTTTTCTCCGCTACCGACCGGTAGATATTGCTTTCAGGAACAAGCTGTTTATTTCAAATTTGGGAACTGCGGCCGAAAAAAGAATATTTCAGCAAATAAACATCTCTTAAAGCTTTATTCTCATCAACTAGACATTCCATTATAAATCAAATCTCTTAATAAACATTAGATCTACCATCAAATTCAAAAAAAGAAACGCACACAGGAAAAATTTCGCTTAATTGACATACCATATTCGCTAGAACAGTACTTCTTTCGACGAGTCTTCAAATTGACAAAGGCAATTACTTACTCGCGAATCGAATAATTTCTCACTGGCTCGACCGAGTTGAACGCGAGCAAAACGGAGTCCCGGAATTCCCGGGGACACGAGCACAGCTCGAGATGATCGCGAGCCCGCGGTCCGATCCATGGATCATTCCGCGGTACCGCCCGCGGGAAACAAGATCGCCGGCGATCGGCGATCGGTCGTTAGCGGAGCCGTTATCGCCATTAAATATGGCGCGTATCGGGTCGCTTTAAACGTCCGTCTCGGATGGGCTCACAGCCGCTCGCGATTCGTTCGACGTCCCTTATCTGCGCTCTGTTATCGGCATCGGGCGCGATATCGCGGACGTTTCTAGTCCCGTATAGCCCTGCAGCTCGGAAAAATCGCGGCGCATTTCCGATTTGCCGGACAGCGCGACGAGTTCCAAGAATCTAAGCGATCGCCGGGCGTTTCCCGTTCTCCGACGCGGGACGCGACTTCGATGCTCGCCAGCGAGAGAATCCCTTAGCGACGTCGCCCCGAAGTTGCGAGCAGACAGCTCGAGGAAACTCGAGATAACACGGAAGTTCGTCTTTATTGCGTGCAGCGTTTTATTAGGGAAACAGGCTGACGGACGTGTTGCGCGCCGGAATGGCTCTGGCGGGTGTTCACGAGCAGTTCGACCTCGAGATACGATGAAACTCGCGAGCACGGCCGGCCGCGCGTTCCGTTTGTTCGTCGCTAATGCAGGAAAACACGGTACCGTCTAAAAATACGCGTGATTAGTCGCAGGTGCGCGGGCTTTCGCGGCGCGGGGAGTGAGTAAGCGCGATTCCGCGAACGAGCGCGCGATTATGCCGCATTGTGCTCGGCGCTGCTTTCGATACCAGGCTAGGCGGTTCGGTGAAGCACGACAGGGACACGCATCCACTTCCGTCGCGGCTATCTCGAATAACAGACGGTTAATTGCGTTGGCGTCGAGTAAATCAAAGCCGCCACGATTTATCGGCGCGAAGATCGAGCCGCGCTCGCAACGCGGCGCCCATTCTTAACCGTTCGCCGTGCGATATCGAGATGAACTTTCGAAAGTGAAGTTATTTCTATTAACTATGGATATTACTGTTGCCAGATGGAATAACATTTCTATTATTACTGCCGCTTGTCAAGCCAAATCAAATGCCGTGTGTCTGTAACGTATGTGTATTAAGAGATTACAATGACCGCGCGGTTCTCTTTCCCGGTTCATTCGGAGGAATAATAAAGCTTTGAAGAGGGTAGCTGCGAAAGGAGTCGCGAGGGGTTAAACGGTTGCCACGAGGTAACGAGGTCACATGTCTGCGAGTGCCTCTGTCAAGTACGTCTATATAAAACGAAGGCGATCAATAGAAATAAGTAAATAGGATTATAGATTGTTAAGAGAAGTATAAAAACGCATTTAAAAACATCTATAATGCAAGATACGAAAAAACGAATCAGATGGCGAATACAACGGTACATGCAATAAGCAAGAACAAAGCCAATGAAAATTTGAAGAGCCGTAACGTCTTTTGCCGGTGCCTCCATAACGAGGACTCGCGTTGAACGCAGCTGACGGATACGAATGCGCGAACGTCCGTGGCCCGGTACCGAGCGAGTTTCGCAGGCAGCTTTTCAATTTTCGCGGCGCGACGCTCTTCGCTCCCCGCGGACCGGACTAACGATCGAGCCAACGCCGAGCTATTCGTCCGTGAAACTCGCAACCCGATTTCTGGCCGGCTCTGTACAAGACAGGAGAGCGAGGATAATGAAATACGACCGGACACCCGGTGATTATTTTTACAGAAATAAACGTACGGAGAGAGTCGTGGCGCGTTTTTGCGGCGAACCAAGAACGGCGCGACGGCAGGGAAGGAGAAAGAGAGAGAAAGACAGAGAGAAAGCGTCGCGTAAGGTAGGAAGGAGAAGAGCCGAACCGTTAATTACAACGGCGTGATTAATAAAACAAGGTGAACCTGTCTCCTCTCTCCCTTTACCGGCATTCGTCACTGGGCGCAGCCTCGACCAACGAGATCTCGACTTCCGAACCCAGTTACTCGCAACGATTCCCCGAAGTTCCACCTCGTTCCAACGAGCACGGGCAGACCCTCGAGAGCTTTCTCGTTCTCACGATCGATCGGAAGTGCGCCGCAATCCGGCGAGGCCTGAAACGTGTCTCTGGAACGGGGAACGTACGCGCAATTATCGAATCGTCGAGCGACAAGGAGAAACAGAGGGAAATCGACGGCGATCAACCGATCCGTCTACTTACGCCGCTCGGCGAGATGCTAAGACGACAAACCGTCCGGGTAGCCTTGCACGTGACTCCTCATTCGTTCGTTACTCGCGCAAGCGCCGTGCGGTATTATAAGGATTTATTCCGTCGTCGAAAACCTCACCTCCATACGAGCACTCGTCACCGACTGCCCTCCGCGACCTTCCTTTCTTCCGTTCGCTCGCGAACATCGCAGCATCGCGGAGCAGTCCCCCTCTTCGACACCCAACACTCACATCCTTATAATACGCAAGTAGCACATTTTCTTACATTGTGTAGATACTCGTTCGCGATATTTCTGGATACTTCGTCAAAGACTAGAACAATGACGCGTAATTAACCCTCCGCACTCGGGGTTCCGAAGGGTGAAACACGGAAAGGCTACCGTGACGTTACCGAAAAAACGGACGCGTCTTATCACTTCGCCCACGCGGTGCGAGAAGGATCGATCGGTCGATGTAGCGATTGCCGAGGTACCTGAACGGGAGATTCTCGATAGATCCGTGCAACGGTGGAGGCGTTGGACGGCTAATTCCTGTCTGCGAGAGCGTCGGCGTGTCGCGCCAATCGGAATCCACTGGAATCCTCTCGTGTTCGGTCCAGCGGTTCAAAGGAACCGTCGACCAGTCGATGGCGTCGATCGTAACCACTCGATTCGAAGCGGCGGGAAGAACTGAGACCCTCTGACCGGGCGTACGCAGCACGCGCGCTCGCGACGTGCAACTTTTCGCTTACGTCGTTGGACCGTTTCTCGGGATCGTCTCGTGTTTCCAGTCGCGGGGCGGCGAGAGTCGTCGACGACGTCGTGTCGCGCGGGTGGCGGCGGTTCGAGTGCCCGACACCGGGCACCGCCGGTTCTCAGGCACCGTCAGCGTCGTTGGCCAGACGATATCGCTCCGCGCCTTATCTGCGCGAGCGGAACAGAGACAGGCCTGTGCTCGGCCGCAGGACGGCCGGGAAGTTGACGCGAGGGAGGCTCGAAAACGAAAGCGACACGGCCGAGCGGGGATCTGGCAACCTGATCCGTCATTTGCGTCGCGAGGAAACGAATACGAACGCGGCGAGGGACGTGTCAGCAGCGTTGGTAAATACGAGGAAACGCGGGGTACCGTTCCGGAAACTGCCGTTGGCAGATGACTCGATCGACTTGTAAACATTCGATTGCACCTGGTTTTCGGACATCGAGATCGGTATCGGCACGTAGATCTGGAGTTATTTTGTACGCTGGGATTTCGTAAGCGTGCAATCGAACGGTGAGAGCTTGTTTCGACTTTGCCTTCGCTAAGGTTATCTTACAATCTGTATAAAGTTCAGTATCTATTTTAAGCGTATACCACTCGATGTCTCGATGATAGAGAGGAGTTTTTCATCATGTCAGTTCTCGTAGGAGTCGTCATTGCCAATGCAGCCGATATCACCGATATCGTTGTTGCGTCAGTATCCACGAGGTATCGATCAACTACGAATGAAACTACGATAATCAACTACCGAGTTTTCACCGGAAGATCAACGCGCAACTCGAGACACAGCAGGTTTCCATTCCGGAAAGTCTTACGATCGCGGTTCTCGCGTAAGGGTCCTTTCCAGCCGATCGCCGAACAGATCGTTTCGCCTGAAACGAAAGCGCGTACGTCGAAGCGCCGCGCGGAGCTCGGTTAATCGATCAAAGACACGAGTCGACGGTTTCCCAACTTCCGTCGCAGCTCCGCCGTGAACGCGCCCTTAGCCGACCGCGAATCGAGCTATTAAAAGTCTTCCCGCCAGCCGAGAGTTATACGCCAACGTGCGAATTGGTTCGAGCGAGGGGAAACGCGAGGGGTCGAGTCGATTAAACCGCAGCCAGCTCGCGCCGCGCGTTTCTTTCCTCGGCGGCCTGCGCGTGTTTATTTATTCGGCGCGATAGAGCGAAGATGAAAGAGGCGGGAGCTGATCGACACAGGCACCGTCGCGTCAGCGCGACCCGAATGCAACGCGCCACCTTATCTGCCCCCATTCGAGAAAATATCATTCCGCGAACGGCAATCGCGCGGTGGATTCGAAGATTCGAGAGAGCCGCGATACGCCGCGAGCGTTCTAAGAGGGGCGCGCAGCTTTGATTATTCGTCAAAGCATTCTTTGGTGGTCGATTCACTTCCGCCGTGGAAGGGGAGCGCGATAGGCACTCGATACCCTTGCTATTTCTGCCGCGGGTTGACGTCGACGAAGAACCTGTTAATGATACCTTAACGATACCATCGGAATATTGTTCACTACAATATTATCGATAGATGTTTACAGATAACATCGACAATCGTATCTCTATTCGATTACAAAATTCTGGGAATTCCGTCGCCAGCCGTCGCAGAGGATGTTTTTCGTTGAAAATTGAATTTCAGCTAAGTGATCTTATCTAACCGAACTCTGTCTCCTGTCGAAACGATTACTCGCAAATCCGTGGCTCCAGTTCACTCGGAAACGAGAGATACAATGAGAAGATGTTACTCTCAGTTCCTCGTTCAAGCACGCGTTTAAATACGCCTCGATCCATTTTAGCTTTCGCTTTTTATTCGAGCGCGTCTCGAACGCTGTTTACCCAGAAATTTTCCGCTTCCGATCACACCCCCGTGAAACGAATCTCTCCGGACCCGGACAGAGATATTTCCAGCGACGGTTTCCCGGACTCGATACACAGAATCGTCTGCTATTTACGCTAACGACGTTTCCCGACAGCAAGGGGATGGTTAAGCTCGGAACTCTTAAGGGCTCGGCCCTCCGGGAGAACGGGGAACTGCTGACGCGGCTTATCCGTCGACCGAAAGTGGTCAAAACCGGTGTTCCCCGTGGCGAGGCTAAATAAAAAGCGTCTTGGCGCGCGCTGCGGCAGACGGGTCCGGCGCGTTTGAAAGGGAGAGATTCGTTTTCCCTCGAATTGGATCTGATGCCTTGAACCTTTAAAGGATTGGTACCTTTCCTCAAAATAATCATCCCCTTTTATGAAACGTTTATGTACGTCGAGGGCGCGTCTGGTTAGACAGGATATAAATCGGTAGTCATCGCGGATGAAGAAAAATTATAGAACAGAGACACTTGAAAATGCAATTGCATTTAAGATCACTGAATGTTACAACGAATACGTATCTTAATTACTCGTTAACGGAACCCGTGAATTCGACGGATATTGAATGGTTCAAACATTACCTGGTAACAATTTAAGTCGATTTTAATTGACGCAATTTCGCGAGTGCTCAGTTCTCTGTTCTTGAAACCCTAATTCCCACGACCTATATGAAGAAAAACGTAGTCTTCTAGGAACGATAGAATAAATATCCGTAATTCCAGTGCAAAACCTTCGTTTCCCAAGATCTAAACAAACGAGCACCGAGTTCCGCGCAATTGCAACGAACTGCACGATAACTCTCCGTAAACCTAGCGTTAACTACGACCGACGATTCCTCGCTTCGAACAAAGCGTCGGACAATTATATCTTTCCGAGACGTTTGCGACACGATTCAGCGTACGAAAGCCCGGTATCGCCGATGCGGCAGCGTTCGCCCTGAAAGGGTTAAACCGGGCGTTGCGTGCGATCTCGGAGGAGGAAACGGCGCGGAAACGCGTGAGAACCGAGGGACCGCGAGAGAGAGAGAGCGAGCGATCGTTTAATTGCGTCGCGGCGCGATGCAGCGCGTAAACGTATCCCCGTGAACGTGTAACCCGTGTGTAGGCGAAGCGTCGCGCCGCTGGGTTCGCCACACGCACGCGTGCACCGCGCGGTCCGCTAATTACGAACGGGCGCACCGTTGATCAGAGCCTCCGCGGCCCCGTTACAACCCCTCGCGAGCGTAACTTTCGCGACGACTCGCCTTGCCCCGCGAATCGGCTCCCGGGTGGCGTGTAATAAGGTCGCGAACCTAATTGACGCGACGCCGATACGTTTTCGCGTCCCTGCTTCTAAACGAGTCGCTCGGAAAACCAATGCGGTTAAACTAGATTCACGGAACTCGAGAGTCTGAGGGATTATTGACATTTTTAAACTTCATTTAGTAGTTTCAGTCGAGTTTCAAGCTATAATTTTCGCGATTTATGGAGAACACGTAGTTTTCTGGGAATGATGGATAGTTTAGAGTAAACGATCGTTAATCTAGTGTTGAGACTAGGGAAGAAAGATGAGAAAATTCATGTTTTGGCTTCTCAGCGGGTTATGGAATATATTCAGAAACTATGAGGGCCTTCTGACCTAGAAAACACGAAGGAACGGGTAAAAGGATATCTAAAGAAACAAGAAAGCTGCAACCGATGAACAGCCGAAAGTGTAAGCACCAGGAATTTGTAACGAGAAACTGTCCAAATGTTTGCAGCTGCGGCGTGGCTGCGGAACGACGAAAACCACGTTGCCAGTCTCCAAACTTTTCCCTTTAAGGGGTGAGCCGTCCCTTCTGGGGTAGACTCCCTATCGCGGAGGCGTCAACACCCCCGCAAGATACAAATATTTAATCGATCGGGGAACCAGTGAAACCGTTTCACTCCGTCGAAACCGTCCCCAAGAGGGAGTAAACCGCGAGAGAAACAAAACGTTCCGAAACTATTCGATAAAACCGCGTAATTTCGAATAATAACGACTAGGCTGCTTAATCCTATGCATTACGCAATTAAGAGCAATACACGGGATAAGGAGAAACATACAAAATATTCAAAGTGTAGCACTGTTAATAGCACCTTTTAGGAAAAGCTACGTATACTCCATAGTAATTATATTTTCCCACTCGCGTTATCACTAGAACTACCGAGGATTTAATACGACTGATACGTAATCCCTATAAAAATTCTAACAGTAGATTATTTTCGGTTTCTTCAGACATTCATTACAGTATTCAAGTCAAAGCTATTTATTCTCAAGATCATTTTGAATATTCAATGCTTTTAAGATACCAATAATTGTGAAACAAAACAATCGAAACCAGTCATTTTGACTGATACGGTAGTTCTAGTGTTAAAAATCTGCATTCGCGTGCGAGTATTTAGTCGAGCGACGACGTCGCGACGAAATTGCATTTCGTACGCGAGGAGAATTCCCGAATACGATTCCGCTTTGGCCGAGCATCGGAGTAACGCGATCGCGCAACGCAAATCCGAGTGTTGGCCGGCCGATTCGTAGAGCTCGGTACGGATATTAATTCAATGGAGCGCGAAGCCAAGGTCCACGTTCTTCTGTCTATCCACGTGGGATACCTATCCGTTACCCCACCCATTTAAGGTATGCTCGGTAGTCCTGCCGGCGCGAGCGTTAAATTTAGGCGTGGTTGTGCCCGAGTTGCATCGGGGGCCCACGGGCTTCAATCGCGAGTATCGAAACGGCCCGTAAACCGTCCAACGAAACACGATTCCACTCGATAGAGTAAATTTTCCACGCATGGCTGTGCTCGGCCCGCGTCGAACGCAAACCACGTAGGAATTATTGCACGCCGGGGTACGTACGGTTCAGCGCTAATTACAAACGAGGTACACGCGCTCGGTACAACGTTTCTCCACGATCCTCTAGCCCTATTAAGAAGCTTTACCGGTGTAACTTACCTCTCCCGCCTTGGAATCGGGTTATGAACCCTGCATAGCGGAGGCGTGACTACACACCGTTCAACGATATCCGTTTTTCATCTGTTACCGTCGCCGTTCGCTCGATTCCTCGAAAATCCCGCGCACAGTTCTCGCGCGCTGCATCTATTACCTCCAACTGTCCGCGAATGAAACGTCGAGGCTCCTTTTCAATCCCGTGCACGCTTCTCCTCGATGTAGCAACAGAACGAACCGTACGATAAATATCCGTGAACGTAGCGTTAAATGATTTCATTCGGGACGCGCGTTTATTCCCTCGAGCAAACGTTTCTTCGTGTAGACACTCGTCTTATCGTCTATCCGACACCTTATCAGCTGCGAAAACAATCGGATAGAATACGATACGAGGACTCGCTTTAACATTTTCCACGCGATTC